AGGGGAAGGCATTGGGAAGTAATAAGTAGATGATGGGTTGCTAGAGTGACAGAAGCTTGAACCCTAGTTTATGCATTGCTTTGTAAGGGGCTGATTTGGATCCATATGTTTCATGCTATGGTTAGGTTTACCTTAATTCTTCTTTCATAGTTGCGGATGCTTGCGAGGGGGGTTAATCATAAGTGGGATGCTTGTCCAAGAAAGGGCAGTACCCAAGCACCGGTCCACCCACATATCAAATTATCAAAGTAACGAACGCGAATCATATGAGCATGATGAAAACTAGCTTGATGATAATTCCCTTGTGTCCTTGGGAGCTCTTTCCTTTATATAAGAGTTTTTCCAGGCTTATCCTTTGCTACAAAAAGGATTTGGCCACCTTGTTGCACCTTGTTTACTCTTATTACTTGTTACCCGTTATGAATTTCCTTATCACAAAACTATCTATTACCGATAATTTCAGTGCTTGTAGAGAATACCTTACTGAAAACTGCTTGTCATTTCCTTCTGCTCCTCGTTGGGTTCGACACTCTTACTTATCTAAAGGACTACGATAGATCCCCTATACTTGTGGGTCATCAACCAGCAGAAGAGGCTGCTCATCAAGTTAACTCGCTCGCCAAACTGCCTCTACAAGCTCTTATTTCGACCCGTGCATCCTGTGTGCCTTGTCATGGGCCATGTCTCTAACGCGTGGCGTTGGCATGCCCGGCTAGGACACTAGCACTTCGACGGGTTGCGGAAGATGGCGCGAGGCAACCTCGTTCGTGGGCTACCTCACATCAAGCACGCCGACGAGCTGTGCGATGCGTGTCTTGCCGGGAAGCAGCGGCGCCTGCCCTTTCCCGAGAAGGCATGCTATCAGGCACAGAAACCCCTCGAGCTGGTTCATGGGGACCTCTGCAGCCCAATCACCCCGACAACGCCAGGAGGGCGTCGCTACATCCTTCTGCTCATTAACGATTACAGTAGGTTCATGTGGGTGTTGCTCCTCGCCTCTAAGGATAAGGCGGAGCGAGCCATCGTCAAGCAGCAAGCGGCAGCGGAGGTTGAGTGCGGCCACAAACTACACATGCTGCGCACGAACCGTGGCGGCGAGTTCACGTCGGCCACGTTCTACAAGCACTGCGCCGAGAAAGGGGTGCAACATCACCTCACAGCCTCTTACTCGCCGCAGCAGAATGGCATTGTCGAGCGGAGGAACCAGACGGTGCTTGGGATGGCGCGCTGCATGCTCAAGGAAAAGTAGGTGCCGAACACGTATTGGGGGGAGGCCGTACTCAGGGCTGTCTTCATCCTCAATCGCTCCTTCACAAGGAGCGTCGACGACAAGACGCCTTACGAGGCATGGTATGGGAGGAAGCCTGATGTACACTTTCTCCGCACCTTTGGCCGCGTCGGGCACGTCAAGACTACACGCCCACATGTGAAGAAGCTCGACAACAGGAGCACCCCAATGGTGTTCATGGGCTATGAGACGGGCTCTAAGACGTACAAGATGTACGACCCCGTCTCAAAGCGTGTGCATGTCTCGCGCGATGTCATCTTCGACGAAGATGCGCGATGGACTTGGGAGGTGTCGGGGGAGGCCCTGGCAAGCAGCTTCATCACTGTGGAGTACCCGATGTACTCTACAACCCCGGGAAGCAAGACCCTGCGAAGCCCGGGAGGTGTGGATCCGGGAACTGCAACCCCGAGAACACCATCCCTGGATACCCCACCGTCAAGCAAGGTGGTTCCTGGGAGGCTGTTCGTGACCCCACCAACAGCAAGGTCGGAGTTGTTCGACTCTGACGACAGCGTTTGCGCCCCCCATAGGTTTCAGCACATGGGGGATCTCCTCGGCGAGGCTGCGACAACAACGCAACAGCCCAAGGAAGAGGACGTTGATGATGACGACGTCTTGCATCTGATGGCCGGTGAGGAGCCGAGCACATTCGTGGAGGCCGAGAAAGAGGATTGCTAGCACCATGCGATGTTGGATGAGCTGGTGTTGATCAACGACAATACCACTTGGACACTCACCACACTGCGTGCTAGGCACCGAGCCATCGGGCTCAAGTGGGTGTTCAAGGTGAATAAAGATGAGCACGGTGCCATTGTCAAGCACAAGGCGTGCCTCGTCGCAAAGGGCTACTTGCAGCATGAGGGAGTGGACTTCGAGGAAGTCTTCGCTCCGGTGGCAAGGCTGGAGTCCGCGCGGCTCATCCTTGCCGTGGCTGCTAACCGCGGGTGGGAGGTACACCACATGGACGTCAAGTCAGCGTTTCTCAATGGCGACCTTAACGAGGAGGTGTACGTATCCCAGCCTCCAGGGTTCATTGCCAAGAACCACGAGCAGGGCGTGTATAGGCTACACAAGGCCCTGTACGGTCTCCGGCAAGCCCCAAGGGCGTGGAACACCAAGTTCGATGCAAGCCTTGCATCCCTTGGGTTCTCACGCAGCGCTTCTGAGCATGGCGTGTACTCGTGTGGCACCGCGAACACGCTGCTCATCGTCGGCATCTACATCGATGACCTGATCATCGCCGGGGCAGAGCCCAAAGAGGTTCGACGCTTTAAGGGGGAGATGCATCGTCTCTTCAGCATGAGTGACCTCAAGCTGCTACGGTACTACCTCGGACTAGAGGTGAACCAGGAGGGTGGTCGCATCACGATCACGCAGACGGCCTATGCCACCAAGATGCTTGAGCGAGCAGGCATGAAGGACTGCTATGTTATGCATGCTCCAATGGAGGCACAGCTGAAACTCAGTAAGGATAGCTCAGAGAAGGCGGTGGATGCTGCGCTCTACCGCAGCATCATCGGGAGCCTCAGGTACGTCGTGCACACCCGACCGGACATCACATTCGTTGTCGGGTACCTGAGTAGGTTCATGGAAGCCCCGACAAGCAATCACCTTGCTGCCGTCAAGCACCTGCTCCGGTACATCGCGGGTACGCTCACGCATGGATGCGTGTATCGTCGTGGCGACGGCGAGAGCTTGGTCGGGTACAGCGACTCCGACCATGCTGGTGACGTGGACTCCCGGAAGAGCACCTCAGGCATATTGTTCCTTCTCGGGAATAGTCCAGTCAGCTGGCAATCAGTGAGGCAGAAGGTTGTCGCCGCATCTTCGTGCGAGGCGGAGTACATCGGTGAGATGCTGAATCAGGACACCGCCCCTGCGCTCATCTTCGTCGACAACAAGTCGGCGATTTCTCTCTGCAAGAATCCAGTACTTCACGACCATAGCAAGCACATCGATCTCCGCTATCACTTCATACGTGACTGCGTCGAGAAAGGCACAGTGATCGTGGAGTTCATCAGGACTGGTGAGCAGAAGACGGACATCCTGACCAAGTCACTTGGTCATGTCTGGTTCCAGGAGCTGCGCGACAAAGTCGGACTTATGGACATCAAGCTTCTTTAACAGGGTTAAGGGGGAGATTGTGGGCTTCACCCTGTCTTCAACACATGCATGGTTGCATGGAAAGTAGCTAAGTAATACTCCCTCCGTTTCAAAATAGATGATCCAACTTTGTACTAACTTTGTACTCCCTCCGTTCCGAATTACTTGTCGCAGGTATGGATGTATCTAGATGTATTTTAGTTCTAGATACATCCATTTCTGCGACGAGTAATTTAGAATGAAGGGAATACAAGTTAGTATAAAGTTGGATCATCTAATTTGGAACGAAGGGAGTACTAGGCTTTCTCTGGTTAGAAAGGAGTTGAGTAGTGGACGATGAGTAGTAGTAGTCTTTCTTTAGTCAAAAGCTTAAGGTGGAGAACTAGTATTAGACTTTATCTAGTCAAAAAGGCTGAGCTGAACTAGTACTACAAGTTTGCAAGCATCCCTATAAAAGGGCATATGCACCTTCGTTGTAAATCACTCCGAGCAATAGCAAAACAACAAGTCAGTTTCATCTACTAGTGCTAGTACGTGAGCTCCTCACTTCATGTGTGTGCGCGGCAGCAGCTTGTGTGTAACTGAAACATCTAGCTAGTTCTCCTCTGTTAAGTGTACAAGTGAGAGCTATTTACTACTCCCTCCATTTCCAAATATAAGTTTTATAGAGATTTCAACGAATGACTATATACGGAATAAAATGAGTGAATCTACACTCTAAAATATGTCTACTTACATTCGTATGTTGTAGTTCATTTGAAATGTTTAAAAAGACTTATATTTAGGAACGGAGGGAGTAGTAGTTTGGGCTAACAGCGAAATCTGAAGCTCTTCTACAGGCCATCAGGTTAGCTGAATTGTACGAAATGGGATAGGTGATGTTTGAGACGGATTGCTTGTCGGCTGTATTATCCGTCGGCCAGGATCGTGGACCTCTTGGTGTCTTAGGTCTTATACAATGAAAGGTGCTTAGAGAGATGCTTATGAAAATAAATCAGGTTTTTCTAAAGCACCGATGCCTATTTCTACAGAAGAGACGCTTAGTTAAGCTTAGTTAGAGACGCTTAGTTAAGCGTCTATTCTATACAAATAAGCACTGATGCTTAAGAAAAGCCTAGTTTATTTCTCTAAGCACCTCCCTTGTACAAGGTCTTATTCCGCGAAGCAAAGCATCTGCCACAGATATGTTTTATAGATCATCAAGTCATGTACTGCCCCCGGTTATGTAATGTCCCAGCGCATGTGCTGTCGGCTTGTGGGTCGAGGGGAGCTCCTGACAGCCTACATGTTTGGCAGTCGGACTTTAATTGGAATGTTAGGTGTTCCAGATAAAAAAAAGAACATCGGTCGAGCAGGACACGGTATGTCACTTGGATTCAAATTGAACAGACCACTTGCCAACGCCAACGCCAACGCCAACGCAACGCCAGGTAATTCACAAAGCTAATCTGCATGCGAATTACAGCATTTTCCCAGTGAAACAAAGCAGATTGCCTTCCCGTGGACAAACATGCCGCATCAACCCCGAAGCACTAAACACAAGGATGGTCGGGGCAGCCAGACAACTTGAGCCACCCATTGCCGATCGGCCAGCTCTGTCTGTCAACGATCACTCACCGGCTGACGGCTCCATCCTCTGCGTTATCAAACGCACCGCGGCGTTGGCGGCGGAGAAGGCCCCGTGGAAGCTCTCCTGGTACGACAGCTCCTGCAGATCCCCGACCATCTTCATCAGGATCTCTCCCACGTCAGATTGCTTCGCCGTCAGGGACTCGTGGTACGACCTTGCGGCGGTGTTGCTGATGTCCACGTTGGCCGGCTCTGGGCAGTACTCATCGTCCAGCCACTTGTGCAGCGTTCCCCTCAGCCATTCGGATTCCTGGTAAGAGGTGGAAAGATGGAGGTGGCCTTGCTCAATGACCGTACAAATGGCGTGTAAATAGACTTGAGCTAATAACAGTCCAGAAACAGGAGCAGGAGCATAACAACTTTCAGGCTACATAATAGGTTTGATAAGAAATGCAACTGGTCTCTGATAGGCATCATTAGATAAGCATGTTCACTCCCCTAATTATTATTACCCACCAACTGGAGCAAAATAACACAATCACCAGGAAGTGCTGCTACAAGACTAAATGAGATGACGGAGATGGAATCATGGATGCGAACCTGTGCTGCTCCTGTGGGCGTGAGCCAAGAATCAGGCACCCTCAGCTCCTGCACGCGGTTGTCCTTGTCACTGCCGCGGCCGGCAGCGCGAGGAGCATGGGGCAAGAGCCGCCGTGGAGAGGAGGCGTTGATGGAGATGGAGGTCGAGAGTGGGGAGGACGGGCTGACGGGGGAAAAACGAAGAAAGGTCGCGCCTTCGAGGGAGAAGCACAAGCGAGGCCATGGAGGAGAAGGGCGGAGGATGAGGTAGAAGATTCCATTTTCCCTTTCTTCTTTTTTTCTCTTCCTTTTTCTTATGGTTCTTCTATGTCTACTTCTTTTCTCGAGAGGTGAGGTGTGGTGTGTGTCCCTTTCCGGCTTATTGAACAACATAATTATATATTTTCCAAAATTCTGAAAAAAGGATTGTACATGCAGTTAAAGATGCATATTAAATGTTAGTTCAAAAAATGAGCCTTGCTAACGAATGCGTATATGTACTGCACGTCTTAGGTCGGGCGGGCGGGCGGGCCACTTTTACAAATATGACCATCATGCCCTTACTAACGAAGAGGTATCGAATAATCTGAGCCTATTATGTGTTTAGGGGGTGTACCGAAGTAGAAGTGTCAAGAATATGATGCATATTAATGTCGATTTGAAAATATGAAAAAGTTGTGACCTGTGCAATATAAACAATTTGTTTTTTCCTTCACAATTGAGATCTTTCTTATTTCTAAACTAAAATTATACTCGTATAAACTTTATAAAACAAAAGCATATGGAATTTTGCAGATTTTTTTGTGTTAATCATGTTCTTCCAAAAAACAGATAAGGGCTAAAATGCCGCTTTGGCTGACTTAAGATTAAGTGAGCCCAAATTAGTTCGAGGGGGGAAAGTAGATTTTCTTCCCTCTGAATGTGCTTGTTTCTTTTTATTTTGGGTGCTATAATGTGCTTCATTCTTAAAAGTTCAACAAAACAACACCATAATGATGCAAGCAAGACATTATCAAAAATTAATAATCTAGCAAGCGAGTGATCATATGGGGAAAAAAAATTATGGCGGAACCAAGAATCGGAGACCCTCTTTATGAAAAATGGGTCATAGCTGTGGTATGAAAGAAAAGAAACAATACATTCACAGCTGTATAACTTCTCATACATGCAAAAAAAACACAAAATGCAGTGATTCTTCAATCTTCATAGGTCCATTAGCTTTTCTATAACAATAGTACAACACATATGAATTCGAACTTAGGACATGGTCCTAGCTTGTTTATGAAGCCTTTGGGTAATTAACCCTAAGCAACAACACAAAATCTCAAGAGGATGAAGAAAGAACAAATGGTAATGAACACACAACATAGACTGAATGCAAAGCTGTCCATAAATTATTTTCTCTCGCCCCAAATGCGACCGAAAAATCAGAAGCCCACAGATCCAGACGACACCTTTGCCTTCTAAAGCTGTCCAATGAACCGAGGCACTTACGCGGTCTTCTCTGTCACAAGCTTCTCGATAAGGTCCGCTGCATCCTGCACGGTTGCAATGTCCTGCGCGCTTGTTTCATCAACGGTGATGTTGAACTCTTCCTCGAGGCCCATCACAATCTCAACCTGCAAAACATAATCGGTGTTACGTATGAACGGCGCTGCTTTTGGGCTACTGCCATTTCTGTGGGATGGGGAGTTGCGGATTTACCGTATCCAGTGAGTCAGCACCAAGTTCAGAAAATTTTGACTCCGCTGTGACAGGGGTCCCATCAGGGACTGCCAGCTGCTTCTTGACTATCATACAAACCTTGTCGACTGTCTCTTTCTTGGCCTGTGTCTCACCTGTGGCCTGCTCAAGAAACGAATGAACGTCACTACCTCAAATCAGTACATCGAGCGTGGCTGAAACATTTGCCATCTTTATCTGATAATGTTACCCAAGGAAGATTTTTACTGCACCTATGGTGTCTAGACTGCAATTTGAAAGAACATTTGCCATGAAATGATTAAAAGACCTGCCCATATTTAATGTTTCAATTACCGCCAGTGTAAACAATTCTCACCTATTTTAACCCTAAACTTATTTACATATTTCAATTACTGCCAACGCAAACAGTTCTCACCTATTTCAATCTCAAACTTGTTCACACATTTTAATATACAAAAAATATTTTAAAAATGACGTACGTCGAGGAAGAACTAGACATCAGTTTTATTAAGATAAGAGTTCCAGATCGAACCCAGGCTGCCTAGCCCACCATCCATGGTGCTAGCCAGTAAGCGCCTGGGTGAATCACTTGGCCACCTATAGAAGTACAAAGGTTCGGAAAAAAAGATATAGATATTGTGAACGCATGGTGGCAAACTTTTACTATTGCGACAGAGAAGAAATGTGTGCCTACCGAACAACAAATCTTAAACCGAAGTGAACTCGGTCTTGAACTGATGGATACAAAGCTCATCTTCTGGCTACGGAAGGAAACTGAGCTCCGGCTCGAAATTACATTAGCCACCTGCAACGAACCAAGAAATTGTTTCCATAACTGAACTGTTCAAACACACAGACCACAGAAAAAAAATAGTACAGAAAAAATGCATGAACTATTTGAAATTAATAAAGTGCAGTTGATCAACCAAATGCAAATTAATCCCTTGAAAATAGATAAAGCAAGCAATACGACATGATGGACTCGCGCAGGAGGTCGTCGCTGTCTGGCGTCGTGGTGGCGTCGGCGGCAGCTAGACCGGGCAACGTTCATGCAGCAGTACAGCTCTGAAGATGGATTGGTGGCAGGTGGCTGCGGCGGCCTCATACCTGGCAGGCGTCCTGGTTGAGGAGCACGCTGGACTGGTGGGTGCCCATACCCGGCAGGCGTCCTGGTTAGGACATCAGGTCTTAGATGTTAGGTTTGGCTGCGAGGTCTGTTTGGTATTAGGCCCAGACTATCAGCATCCCTTCATCAATTGGATAGGAGTAGCGACACTTTTGTTGCCTAGACGGCGGCTTCAGTCTTACTATTGTATGCCTTTGTAAGGTCTTGTGTGAATAATTAATAAAGTGGCTGCATGCATCGTCCAGATGCAGAGGCCGGGGGTCCTCCTCCATTTCTAAAAAAAAAAGCTCACAGATTTCGAGCCAGAGTGCCATGATGGAACTTCTGCTCACTCGTTTTGCAAAGTTGCCAAATGGGCCAAAAGGGTCAGGGTGATCAGTGCTCTGGATCCTTGAGCTTGTCGGCACCTGCGCAGTCAGCTGCAGTTTCGAACGAGGATGCGTCGTTGAGCAGCGCTTTCGAACCAGAATGTGAAATAATCGTTGGGCTGCGCTTCAAACCAGAGGAAGGAATGAACTACTAGTGCCTTTCTGATACAAGTGTCCTGCTTCCTGGCTGGCAACCAGCACTGCAAATTTTCATGAATTATCCGGTCTAGGTATTCGAAATTTAATCCAAGACATTGGTGCAATACACAAGGATCACGTCATCACGATGCAACCATGTGTCAACCAAGTTTCTCAAATACCAGGCCTAACATGAAACTAGTCATGTTGAACCCAAAAATACCCCCAAATGGATTCTGGAATCTAATAGTGCAGGACACTCCGGGTCAGACCGGAGGCACATGGCAATATACAACTGTAAAATAAAGGCCGGCATTTTTTATTTGGCTAACGCATCAACATCGATGTGGAGAGCAACACATTGGTAAAGAACTGTTGATCTAATTCAGCAAGATCTGAAGCATGTGATGTGCTTGGGTGGCTTCCCAGAGCTTTGCATCTTCTGAACCAGGCTACATTAGAATACTAAACTGAAAATTTTAAAATAAGCCTTACTGAGCCATCCAGATCCAGTTGCAATGCCGGCTACGTTAAACGCAGCCATTTTGGAATCTTTGAAGTTTGTACTAAAATAAATCAAATTGTCAACATCCGTTAGTAAATATGTGTAAATAAGCAAATTTTCCCACCAGTGTAAGGTTAATTAACCTCATAGGTAAGTTAAAGCTTTTCTGCCTTTCTGACCATACTATACCAGTTCAAATGTACCTATTTCTCTCTAGATAAATGAATATATGGACTGAACGCATGGGCTCATCTTATGATGTGCTCAATATATACTCCATTTAGTGGGTATTGTTTTTTCAACACTAAGTGTGGAAATTACAGGCATGTGAGAAACATCGCCAAGATATCAAAAGAGGAAGCATGTTTATGCTACTCAGTGAACTATTGAATCAAACCAAGAAAGCATCTATTCATCCAAGTATCCAACCAAATCAACCACGAACTTAGAAGAAACACACAGGAATAGCCTAGGAATCTCATGAATCGCAAGCTAAAACTATGCAAATGACCAAATCTGTGACAAGAGAGCGGTCAGTCCGAGAACGGCACCTGGCTGGACAGCCGCCGGCGGACGGCGGACGGCGAGAAGGAGGCAACGGCGGCGAGGCAGTGCGCCATGGGTTGGCCGGCTGAGCTGCTCGGTAGAATTTGGGGGCGGTGGGAAGAGGCCGGCTGGTAGGTGGAGTGCTACTCTGCTCGGGAGGTCCTCGGCTCTGGAGCTGCTACCAACCAATGGTGGCAATTATAGTGCAGATAGGAGATAAAATAGATAGGCTTAGGATAAAGTGTCCAAAAGAACGCTGATGCACTATACTCCGAGAGAAAAATGGAAGAAAATAAATTCAGAGTATATCTGTATGGATATCTCAGCCGTGGATGTGCAAAATGGATATACATGTGACATGTCATGCCACATTTGTGAAGTTCGTGAGTTTGCAGGGTTTCTTCTACTCCCTCCGTTCACTTTTATAAGTCATTTCAGACAACTGAAAATAAACTACTTTACACCTTGTTTAAAATGTCTTCAAGGCCTTATAAAAATGAACGGAGGGAGTACATCACTTTTTTCTTTGTGTCGTGGTACCTACTCCTTGTACAAAACGAAATATAATTTTTCAAAGGAAATTTTAACTAGGTAGGGTCTCACAGAACACCCCCACAGCCATTGGATCCAGATCACGCGAATAGCAGTCTTAAAAAAATGCAGGCATTTTTTTGCACTACATGGCATCTTACTCTACCAATAATGACAATTTTCTGAAATATTGCATGGCAATTTGAGGAAAAACGTCAACATTCCTCATATATTGAGGTCCTAAAAAAATTCGACACCAACAAGGAAGGAGCCCTATGGTTTTTAAAAAATAAAATAAGAAGATGTGAGACTCACGCTCGAACCTGGGGTTCAAACCTGCATCGGGTGAGACGCACAACAACATTCCAACCACTAGGCTAAGAGAAATATAATCATCGTTCCTATGTCCTAAAAACTCTGTGGTCGTTATTCTATACATCAATAAGATTGACACTTAACTTTCCTCCAACGCTGAATGGCAAAAGGGGTCTCTCTCAACCGATGATGCGATGGCAAGATCTAAGGTTCTTGATCCGTGACCTAGTATTTAAGATTCAAGGCAGGAGATCGAACCCATAATTTGCTTTGTCTTCCTGTACACCCGAGCCACCAGATCAGCCTTGAACCAATGATGTAAATGTGAGATTAAGCTACAACTTCATGGTGCATCATGATGCAAGTCACATGGCCCCTGATTTAACATTGAGCCTCTCGTCATCTCTGTATACAACATCCAATCCGGCATCCAACTTGAAAGTGCAACTAGTCTCGCGGTGGTTTTAGAGCTTCAAATAGCTTGCCAGCCCTCCTGGGACAACAGTGAGTTGTTGACAACATAGTTGTAACAACACGACACCTCGGACAGGGAACCACTGGAGGACATCCCTATGCGAAAACATCGGTTGTGTTAAGCACCCATATAACTGCTCTCTGTAGGGCTTGCGTTTAAACCTAAAGGCCGGATTGCCTTGCACCACTAGGCATCCCCAGAACAAGCAGGTCACCAGGAGCACTCTTCATTGGCCTTTGGCTAGAGAGGTAGAAGTCAATGGCTAGTTAACGCAAGTATCTTAAATATACAATCTCGAGCAACATCGACAACGTCGCCGGTATACAAATAAAAACGTCAATTCAACTCAAAACGGCTTAAAAATAATTTTATAGGCCATCTATAAGCCTATCTAGATGACAATACTTTTCGAAGATTCGAGCAAAGGGCATGACCTTCTAGAAATTGATCTTCGGCTTGATTTCTTTCCTGTTGGCACCCTTTGGACCATCCCTGGCAACCGTTGATGTCTACTACACAACTTATTCTTATAGACTCGTGTTGAGCCTCAAGCACAGAGTTTTGTAGGACATCAGCAAATTTCCCTCAAGTGCAATGACCTAACGTTTATCAATCCGTCGGAGGTGTATGATGAAGATGGTCTCTCTCAAAAAACCCTGCAATCGAATACACCAAATCTCTTGTGTTCCCAACACACCAAATACAATGGTAATTTGTATAGGTGCACTAGTTTGGTGAAGAGATAGTGATACGAGTGTAGTATGGATAGTAGATATAGATTTTCGTAATATGAAAAATATAAAACAGCAAGGTAGCAAGTGATAAAATGGAGCACAAACGGTGTTGCAATGCTTGAAAAATAGGCATAGGGTTCATACTTTCACTAGTGCAATCTCTCAATAATGCTAATATAATTGAATCATATAACAATCCCTCAACGTGCGACAAAGAATCACTCCAAATTTCTTATCAAGCGGAGAACATAAGATGAAATTGTTTGTAGGGTACGAAACCACCTCAAAGTTATCCTTTCCGATCAATTTATTGAGCTATTCCTATAAGTGTCACAAACGGCACCAAAGTTTGTAACAAAATAACACCATCTGATACACACAACCAATTCTAATGTCACCTATATACTCTGATGTCACCACAAGTATCCGTGAATTGATCATTCGATATGCATGAAACAACTTCAGATTCATAATATTCAATCCATCACAAAGAACTTCAAAGAGTACCCCAATGTTTCTACTAGAGAAAGAAGGACGAAAACGTGTATCAACTCCTATGCATAGATTACCCCAATGTATGATAATCTGCAAGCTGAATACTAAAAGGATTGAGAAGAGGGGTCTAGAGGGGGGTGATTAGACCCTTAACAAGCAAAAATGGTAGTTTTTAATTTTCCCAAGTTAAGGTTGAGTTTAGCACATGTTAAAGCACACATAATGCATTTTACACAAGCATAGCAAGAGTATGAGCGGCAGAAAGAGCAAAGCATGCAAGTGCAAGAATGTAAAGTGATGGGATTGGAGTGTGCAAGCGCAATGGAGACGCGGAGGATTTTTGGCATGGTTCCGATAGGTGGTGCTATCGCACGTCCATGTTGATGGAGACTTCAACCCACGAAGGGTAATGGCTGCGCGAGTCCACGGAGGGGTCCACCCATGAAGGGTCCACGAAGAAGCAACCTTGTCTATCCCACCATGGCCATCGCCCACGAAGGACTTGCCTCACTCGGGTAGATCTTCATGAAGTAGGTGATCTTATTGCCCTTACAAATTTCTTGGTTCAACTCCACATCACGACGGAGGCTCCCAAGCGACACCTAACCAATCAACAACGTGTTCATGATAAACTCCTTGCTCCCGTGTGCTTCAAATGATAGTCTCCCCAACACTCAACTCTCTCTCACACAGATTTGGCTATGGTGGAAGAAGGATTTGAGTGGATAGCTGAACGAAATATGCCCTAGAGGCAATAATAAAGTTATTATTTATATTTCCTTATATCATGATAAATGTTTATTATTCATGCTAGAATTGTATTAACCGGAAACTTAGTACATGTGTGAATACATAGACAAACAGAATGTCACTAGTTTGCCTCTACTTGACTAGCTCATTGAATCAATGATGATTATGTTTCCTAACCATAGACATGAGTTGTCATTTGATTAACGGGATCACATCATTAGAGAATGATGTGATTGACTTGACCCATTCCGTTAGCTTAGCACGATGATTGTTTAGTTTGTCGCTATTGCTTTCTTCATGACTTATACATATTCCTATGACTATGAGATTATGCAACTTCCGAGTACCGGAGGAACACTTTGTGTGCTACCAAACATCACAACGTAACTGGGTGATTATAAAGGTGCTCTACAGGTGTCTCCGATGGTACTTGTTGAGTTGGCATAGATCGAGATTAGGATTTGTCACTCTGATTGTCGGAGAGGTATCTCTGGGCCCTCTCGGTAATGCACATCACTATAAGCCTTGCAAGCATTGTGACTAATGAGTTAGTTGTGGGATGATGTATTACGGAACGAGTAAAGATATTTGCCGGTAATGATATTGAACTAGGTATAAGGATATTGACGATCGAATCTCGGGCAACATACCGATGAAAAAGGGAACAACGTATGTTGTTATGCGGTTTGACCGATAAAGATCTTCATAGAATATGTTGGAACCAATATGAGCATCCAGGTTCCGCTATTGGTTATTGACCGGAGACGAGTCTCGGTCATGTCTACATAGTTCTTGAAGCCGTAGGGTCCGCAAGCTTAAAGTTCGGTGATGATCGGCATTATGAGTTTATGTGTTTTGATGTACCGAAGGTAGTTAGGAGCCCCGAATGTGATCACGGACATGACGAGGAGTCTCGAAATGGTCGAGACGTAAAGATTGATATATTGGACGGCTATATTCGGACACCAGAAGTGTTCTGGATGGTTTCAGAGAAAACCGGAGTGCCGGAGGGGTTACCGAAACCCCCCGGGGAAGTATTGGGCTTTAGTGGGCCTAAGGGGAGAGAGAGGACAGCAACCCAGGAGGTGGCGCGCCCCCTCCCATGAGGAGTCCGAATTGGACTAGGGGAGGGGGCGCGGCCCCTCTTTCCCTCTCCCTCTCCCTCTCTTTCCTTCCCCCTTCCCCCTTCCTAGTAGGACTAGGAAAGGATGGATCCTACTCCTACTAGGAGGAGGATTCCTCCTCTCCTTGGGGCGCACCAAGGCCGGCCGGCCTCCTCCCTTGCTCCTTTATATACGGGGGTGGGGGGGGGCACCCAAAGACACACAAGTTGATTGTTGCAAGCCATGTGCGGTGCCCCCCTCCACCATAATCCACCTCGATCATATTGTAGCAGTGCTTAGGCGAAGCCCTGCGTCGGTAGCAACATCATCACCGTCATCACGCCGTCATGCTGACGGAACTCTCCCTCAAAGCTCTGCTGGATCGGAGTTCGTGGGACGTCATCGAGCTGAATGTGTGTTGAACTCGAAGGTGCCGTGCGTTCGATACTTGGATCGGTCAGATCGTGAAGACGTACGACTACATCAACCGCGTTCTCATAACGCTTCCTCTTACGGTCTACGAGGGTACGTGGACGATACTCTCCCCTCTCGTTGCTATGCATCACCATGATCTTGCGTGTGCGTAGGAATTTTTTTTGAAATTACTGCGTTCCCCAACAGTGGCATCCGAGCCAGGTTTATGCATAGATGTTATATGCACGAGTAGAACA